CTTCCTCGCGTATGTATAAGACCGAATCCATTCGATTTCTAAAAAAGATTACTAATCCTTAACTTTTCGAGGAATCCCAAAGATTCAACCCATAAGGAATCATTATAAATCTTGATAATTGAAAAAGTTTCCTACTTATACATCATTATTTGAGTCAAGTTTTACAGTAAAGACTATATTTGATTATCATAAGAAAGATTCTTTATGATACTATGCAATTTGTGCAACCAGATGTACATACAATATGCATGGGATCAGCCGCTTCAATGGGATCTTTTATCCTGGTCGGAGGAGAAATTACCAAACGTCTAGCATTCCCTCACGCTTGGCGCCAATGAGGCTTTTATTTGAGAGAAAAAAGAAGACTATGCCTTCGCCATATGAAATATGAATATTAAGTAATAATAGCATGGCACTTTGAATTCGATATAAGAAAATATTTTTAGTCACACCTCATCAACTCATACTCTCAGGCTTGAGGCCTCTCACGGACCGTCTTCATCGACTCATAATTGTTAAACTTTGAACATTTACGATTATAGTATGTAATCGTTAAACTTTCAACATTTACTATTAATCTACTATGGTTTTTAATTGTTAAACAATATTTATAACCATTATTCCGTATAATTTGTATTCTTATTTATTTATTTAATGTTTTGACAATGTTTTATTTTTTTATTTCTAAATAACAAAATTTTAATATTTTAAAGCGGGTAACCGGCACCAATTCGCGACGATTCCAGTTCTTCTCAAATAGGGTGGGTGCCCGCCGATACTTACCCCTAACATGCTAAGAAGTTTTTTAATCATATACCACTAAATAAAAGACTCCTTTTTTAACAGTTACATCCTTTTTCTTAGAATTTAAAGACTTCTTTATTCTATTATAATTTTTTCTCCTTTTTAGAAGAAGAATTTAGGATAACTCTTAAAGCAAACTTTTCTCAAATCTTCAAAATAATAAATAACAAAACCGTTAGAGATGTTTTAATGTATAATTATGTTAATTTCATGCATGTCGTTGTGATTTTTTTGATCATTAAAATTTACGAGTACTCTAAATTTCTATTCAAACGTTTTTTCTAGAGATGTATGTAAATGAAATAGGGTAAGAAATGTCGTGATACGAAAGTAAAGGGATCAGAACACCATAACTGCCGTCTTCACCGAAACTCAACACTAACAATCTTGTTCAATAATTGATATTGAAATCAAATCGACAGATTGAAATCTAATTGGATCAATTCCATTTTGGAAAACCAAATGTCGGAATTTCTAATTCTAATTGATTGATTGATTGATTGTTAGGTTGAATCGACTTCTTCCCACCCTTATTTATATAGTCAAGTATAACATAAATAATAGATGAACGTCACGTCTTGCTGGAAAGATTCTCGAAAATCTAGAACATTCCGGATCAATCAAGAAGACGGAAGAACCTTGAAAAAGATTCAAGAGAAGCCATGCCAAGACCAATTAGAGAAGAGCAAGATTTAGGACGATCCACACATGGTTAGGGCTTGTGTAACTAGAATCTTTCTTGTAAATATCTCGTTAGTTCCGTCTATTTTAGCATTCTTGTTTGCTCATATCATTCGGTATTCTTATAGTTTGGCTAACTTAATTCGTGAACTAAGGTCGCACATGAATTTATAATTGGCATAAACAAACATTCCAAATTATGCAAAACATATAACAGGAATTTTAGCAGGAGAATGTGTAATATAACAAGAAAAGCACCGATACATAAAAAAAGTAATAAACCATAATCTCAAAGACTCGAATACCAGTATGAAATAATCAGTCACATGAACTCATAATAAAAAAAAAGGTAATGTTCGCATCGTTTACCAGAATACCATCAAGATTTCTAAACATCCAAAAAGAGTACATACCTAGCAGTTGAGTAGCCTAGGCAGCAATAGATGGCTTTGAAGCAGCAGAAAGCCTGGACCTCTTCTTGGCCAAGCTCTCGCTACGCTTTTCCCTTTGCTCCTTGAGCCTGGACGCAAGAAGCTTTTGGTAATCTGCCGCCTCGGATTTGGCCTTTGCAATCCTCTTCTTCTTGTCAGCAATTCTAGCTCTCTTCCTTTGCAGAGTCAATGGAGTCACCAACCTCTGTATCTTGGGAGCTTTGCTGCATTCCTTACCTGTAACCAAGTTCCATCAAATTCCATCCACTTGCTTATGAAGGATAGTATGGTAACAGGAATAATTCCCTCATCCCACCATCCCAATATGTTTCTTACTTTCTAAGGTAAGGGTGTGTTTGATACACAAACAGGACTGGATAGAACTACATGGGTATTTTAGTAATTTACATATCTTCTCTCATCTCCATGATCTTTTTGTCTCACCAAGTCTAGTCTCTTCCCAATCTAATATCAAACCAACATAAGACGACTAGGCCAGAATTTTACATGGGTTCTTTAGTAATTTACCAATTTTCTCTCATCTCTCTGATCTTTCTGTCTCACCAAGTCTTGACAGGTTGTCCCTTCCTAATCTAATCTCAGACCTGCATAGATAAACAAGCTTCTGTTCTTTTGTGTACCCTCATGTCGTGCATACCAAATGAACCCTAGGTGCCAACTTTCCAGTTCTACTATAATCATGGGATGGAAGAATTGATCATCCCTATATTAAGGATAAAATTGGCATTTAAGTAAATGTAATAATTACACATGAATGAAGAAATTAGAACATGATGCACTGACCTGCTTTGTTGTTGAATGTTCGGCGATAAGTGTTGACATACTTCCTCACATCATCTTCCTTTGAAAGGTTGAACAGCTTGCGGATCTTTGATGCTCTCTTGGGACCTCTCATTCTTGGCTTCTCAACATCAGTTAGTCCAGGCAAGTCACTCTCACCTTTCTTCACGATAACCAAGTTCAAAACAGAAAGATCTTGGCTGACAATGCATCCACGAACAGATTTCCTTCGACGTTCACCGTTACGCCTTCCATATCCTCGGAAACAAGGAGTACCTAAGGAAAAAAGGGGTCATTGAACTTCAATCATGCACAGTTGTTACCAATAGTAGATGGCTACGTATAGAAATAGAGCTAGCAGTTAACTGACCTCGAACGAGTAAAAGACGAACACGCCCTGGAGTCAACACTCCCTGCTTCATTGGGAAACCTTGCTTGTCACACCCTCCCATAATCTTGAACACATAACCCTTGAATTCCTGTCAATCAACAGGGTTTAATCTTGAATATCATCTTTCTTACTGATTCTTAGTAATGAAAAAATATAGGCGGACAAATGAATATACATTATCATAAAAGTTATACCTCTCCAAGTGCATCTCCACTGACTTCCTGGGAAATCCTCTTGTCAAAAAAGGCCCGACTGCATCAATTATGGTAAGACAACAATAGTCAGCTATCTAAATGCGTCCAAAGCCCAAAACTTTGCAAGTCTAATGAAATGAAAGCAGAGAATCTAAAACTTTCTGGATCAAAAGAGACCTAATAAACAAGACACATTGAACCTTCAACTAGAACCTGATTGTGTCTGGATACCATAAGTAGCAACCTTAATAACATTATAACATACAACATAAAATCAGCAGACCAACTCATTGTTCAAGAGACACTTTCCAGTGTATGAAAATCTGTATCAATTAGTTTACCATGTCGTATTTCTTTGAAGAATACAAAAAACATCAACAGTAGACAAATTGCGTCAACATGTAAGTCAAGCAGAAAACTAAAAGTGATTTTAATCGCAGAAATGTTTGCTATTGATTAGTTTTTTTTAAATCAAGCATCTTTCCAGAGGTAAAAGCTAATAACAACGAGCAGTTGAGACTTTGAATTCCAACGCTCTGCCCATTATACAAAAAGGCCACTCTAATTCCTATTTCTGTTTTCTATATTTGTAAAAAGGATCATTTCTTGATAAACTTAAGGTTGTGTTCCATACTCCTAATAAATGGTAAGAATGGTTTACTTTTGTCCAAGGAGAACAGAGCTAACCAAATAAAATCCATTAACAAAAAAAAAAAAAGAGTTGTAATATTTTTCAAAAGATTACATTGAAATCGGTGACGAGTCTCAGAAAGAAAAACTTAAAATATAAATCGAGTTCTTACAGCTTCTGATCATCGTCAATTTCGAGCTTCTTCTGGCATCCAGTTGTTGGATTTGCAATGTTGAACTACAAAAAGCAGACATGAAACTGTAAATCGAAGAACACATAAGTAAGATTGTAACGAAATTAGGGTTGAACATATGAGAACCTTCATCGTCGGAGACAGGAAGAGGCCGCCGCGAAGATGGATTCGAAAATACTCTCTTGAAGAATTTAGGGTTTTAAAGCGTCATTTGAAGGTTTTTATATCCGATGCACGCTTCGCTTGTTTGGGTCATTGGGCTTTTCTCATGGATCAGATATCAAACCCATATTCTACGTGGGCCTTCAGTTCTTTTTTTTTTTTTTTGGACTTTATATTATATTATTATATTTTAAGTAAATTTAAAACAAATTGATTTCTAATTTTTAAAAAAAAAATTATAAACCAAAATCAATGTTGTTAATTTCAAGTAACGAATGTAATACAATGGGGTTAGAGCATCGTATTTGTAATACAATGGTCATCAGTTCTGAATCACCGTTCCTGTTCTTTCCCTCGACCCCGCTACTAAGAAAGGGATTCTCTTGAACCCGAATGTAATACGATGGCCATTGAACCACAAGGGTGGTGTCTGATTGGTTTGAGTTTGACTCCAAATATCAAAAATACCTGGAGGTCTCAGGTTCAAATCCAAGGAGGAATAAAAATTCTCTTGTGGCCATGGAGGTTCAAATGCGGTGACTCTGTGCTATCTGCAAAGCAAATGGTCGTCATGAGATTAGTCAGTTTGCATAGCGGGTTGGATATCCAAGTTAATAAAAAAAAATACGATAGCCATTGTGTTTGCCTCTGCTTTGAGGCTCCATCAGACACATGTCTAATGTCTAGACTAAAATGTACTAATCCAATATTTAGCTCCACACACATAACGAAGTCACCGCATTTGGGGAATTTCATAAAGAAAAACTCACATTTTAATTCGTGTTGGTTAACTTGTTCCTTCCTCTCGTACAACTTTTATACACCATATATACATCTAAGTAGGAGTGCTCAAAAACTCGACCAACATGACCAAACCGATCAACCCAATTCAGCGCGAAATAACTCAACCCGCAGCAATCTGATGTCTAATTGAGTTTTAAGATCTTCAAATTGTAGGTATTTGGTTACCTTTGTTTGAAACCAATCCAACCCGATGAATACGATGAACATTTATTTTTTGGATTTAATATGATTGTTGCGTATTTGTTAATATGTACATTAAACAATTACATCATCGCATACCATCTTCATATACATGTATTTTCAATCTATTCTCCATTTATATATAGCTCATTTGTATATACATATATAGGGGCATAATCAAATGAAAATTCAGTAGTTTGTGATAACCGTGAGATTCAATGTAAACCAATCATTTGATATAGTTAAGGATATTACTTAAATAAGCTGGAAAAAGATAATTTAGTAAATTTATTTACTACAACCCATTAAAATATTCAATTACTTTTTAAAGGACATACGTAATTAACTTAATTACCTAATATATATTAATTGCTTAATATAATCACAATGTGTATTTTTCAAAGTGTATCACAATATGTATTTTTCATTATTTTGTTGTTTTATGAAATTTATCACAATATGTTTTTTGTTATTTTATAAAAGGTATCACATTGAGTATCGTTTATATGTATCTTTTTTTTTTTAACAAAATCAATTAATTTAGGTATCACAGTGTATATTTCGCATTCACATGGTGTTTGTGGAATAAGATTCGTTAGAGTAAGGTTCGTCGGAAAGAGGAGTATTTAAAAAATTATAATACCAAAAATGCTCTTTAATTGAAATCTTAAGTCAAAATTAACAAAATTATTAATTTCATAATTTGTCTTTGAATTAGTGACTGAGATTGGTTATCACGGTTATCAGAAAAAACTGAGTTCTCCCTTGGATGACCCCCCCAACACACACACACACACACATATATATATATATATATATATATATATGGGTCAATTCAAGGGAGAACTGACTATTTTGTGATAACCGTGAGATCCAATCCTAAACACAAATCAATAGATAAATTAAGAACTTTTGAATTTTGAATTAAAATTTTAATGAAATGACTTTTTAATTTTGATAATCTCTTATTGGTTTAAGCTCGACTTCAAAGGTCAAAAGTATCATGAGGTCTCATGTTTAAATCCAAGGAGGAATAAAAATCTCTTTGTGGCCACGGAGGTTCAAATGCGGTGACTCTGAGTTATTTGCAAAGCAGGTGGTCACTATGTGATCAGTTGGCTCGCATAGCGGATTGGATATCCAGGTTAATAAAAAAAAATTAGATTGTTTATATAGTGAGATTGAGAAGAAAAAAACAAAATAAGATAAATGTTGTATTGAAAAGAAACGAAATTTGGTCAAGATATGTTTGGAAACCGGGGACTGACCGGTGGGTCTTTTACGCCCCACTCACCCCTTGGTGCGTAAGGGTCAGCCCGAAGTAACCTCCAGACCGTGATGTCTCATCAACCATCAAACCCTAATCCTTTAAGAAAAAAAAACATATGCACCAAACAACGTATGATACTAAATAGGGGCTATTTTTGAAAATATAATATTTTATAGGATATTTGTATAATTTAAATTTTTTAGGGGTTAATTTAGTTAAACAACCCTCGCATTTTCTGTCATTGAGAATCTGCGGGAGATCCCCGCTTCTTTCGACGGTTTTCCCTGCCCACGTTCTAATTTGAAACTTGAAAAGTATCAAGGCCAGTTTCAGTTTAGTCCCTAAACTTTGAATATTTATACATCAGCCCCTGAATTTCATGTTTCAATATTTTACACATTCAGCCCTTGTACTTTACTTGGCTCATTTGCTGCGTTATATACATACAACCATCTTTCATAAAATGGAAAACTTTTGAGAGCTTCTTTTGAAGTAAATAAAGTTGATAAATTATGAAAGAATTATAAATTGCACCATAAAAAAGTTAAGATTCTCGAGAATTGTTGTATGAACTTTGAAATGTGTCAATCGATTTTGTTGTAACGAGAGAGGCATGAAGTCCTCCAGTTACGTAACAGGTTCTTCAGCATCCATGAAGAGCCTTCATTTCTATCAAAAATAGTTGCATTCTGAGGATTCATTCGGCTTCTCCATCATCATCACCACCACCATCACCACCACCACCACCACCACCACCACCACCACCATCATCATCCTCCTCCTCAACATTTGTTACTATTTGATCCTCAAAAAAATCTTGTGCATTATTTTCATCTGGATCGTCTATATATGCTTGAGAGCTCACTACCTCTCCTATCAAATTCTTGTGTTTCAAGTTGCCTGTCAAAATATCATTTAAAGAATAAGATGGATTAATGGCGTAAATGGCAAAATGAAAACTATTGAATTATGTCTCAAGTAGTTGCTAAATAATGTGAGGTGTGGCAGTGGGGTCGAGTCTCAACCCTTGGGAGCCACTACGTTTTTCAAGGCATGACTGATGGTCGTAAATATGTATATCATATATATATATATATATATATATATATATATATATATAGGGTTGGGTTCCAGTGAGTAGAAGAGTTAAAGATGAGAAGCGTAATAAAGGACCTCCACCCTTGAATGAGATGCACCCGATCAATCTCCGTATCAAGCACGATTTATGAGTGGATTTGATATTAAAGATGATCCAGACCCTTCTTACGGTTCTCATCTTAGCTCTCCTTCTCACACGATTCTTCGCCTATATATATATATATATATATATATATATATATATTTACTTATACACATGTTTTCTACTATTACTCTGATATGAGATCATATAAGGTATATACTAAAAAGTAAAACACGGAAAAGGTTAAAAAACTAAAAGAAAAAAAAATCAAATAACACTTACAAAAAACCTCGCATTGGACCATGCCATGCATAAGGGTAACTCAACGTCAGAGATAAGCTTGTGCCACAACATACCACAACACACCACAACGGCCACCATGGCACGCCTTTTCATGAATTCTTTTTACACAAAGCATAAAAGGTGGTCACCACTGCATACTTTTGAGGAAAAATATTCAATGACATACTTAGATTCAAATAAGTATATCAATTACATTATTTTCGTGTAATTGTTGTCCAAAATTAAGAATAAGAAATTCAAAATTGGCGAGCTTAATTAGTCAATAAAACGGAAAAGAGGTCGTTGCTTGTGAAGCGATAAACCATCAACTATTCAGCCCTTAAATTTGTAATACCTCATATCAGTTGAATTACAAGGATGTTATTAATATAATTATCAAGATTTACATATGCAAGTGATAATTTTTTAGTTCAGATGTACAAGCGAAGAAATCATGTAAGTTAAGTGATGACTTTATATATTTAGCCTTCTTTATACTATATTTAGCCTAACAAACTACAACATCTACAACATAATGAGTTTACTACAAACACCATAACCAAAAGGGTTTTCGAGGACATAAATGAACAGGTGAAAATCTAACTGAAGCAGGAAGTAGGAAATATACCAACTTAAAATCTCAAGAACAATTCAAATGGGTGATCAAAGTATGCTTCAAGTAGTTAAGCAGGACCAAAGGGTTATTGGCCCATCTGTACATGGGTTACCGGTACAGCGTGTCCTCCCAGGAGGTCTAAGGGTTCAAACTCATCAAAGGTGAGAAGTGCGTGAATATTTTCCGTATATATATGTGTGTAGGATTAGGTTCATATGAGAACCACAACAAAATTGAGAACCGGAGAACTTGTATATTCATTGATGCATGCATACTATCAAAATATGTATTCTGTCAATAATTATTCATCAATACATATCTATTATGTATGCAAGTATACCTAAAATTCATTAGTGTATAATGCATCAATAAATGTACACGTTCTCCAGTTTTCAATATTTTTGTGGTTCTCACATAACCGCTCCTATATATGTGTGTATATATATTATATACTTCAAACGAAAAAAAGAGAAGAATTAAAGCAGGAGCTACATTACATACCCATCCAGAAGGTGCATCCATTTGATGAAGAGTGAAGAAGGGCCTTAACACGAAACAAGAAGCGTTCCAAAGATCTCTTGGTAGCAGGAATTTTACTGGTGATACTGGTTTGTTTCGAGCCCTTCCGATATACAAAAAAAGAAGATTGAATAGACGTCAATGAATGGTTAAGGGGTGAATAATTTAATGATAACAATTTGAACCTGCAAATGTACCTTTGCTTCTGAACATAAGGTTTGTATCGTTCTTGTTCCTTTCTGAAAGTCTTTAAACTGAAAAGGCCATAAAGCATTTATTTTTTTAGTTTGGTTCAAACCACCTGGTATAGTTTCCAAGAATGATAACTGCATTATGATTTCTAATCCACTTGGTCCCAAACCATTATAAACTACAAGCACGAAAAATGCCTTACCAGTTGAATGATAAGCGGCTTGTGTCCCTGAAAGTGCTTTTCTAGGAACTCAAAAACTGCAGAAAACTCAAATTTCAGTAACCATCAGTCACAAAACATCACATGATTTACCACATACCTTTTAGGAAGGAATCAACAAACTTCCCACCATACTTGACAGCCATTGTGCGAACAGTAACCTACATTATAGTTTTATATCAAGAATTTAAGATTACATAACCTGAAGCAGTGAAAGAGCGGTGTGTTTGGTATGTGGGATGGTACATGGCAGGACAGAACAAAAACTTGTTGTCTCATGTTTAGGGCGACAATTAGACTGGGATTAAACTGAGTGGGACAAAAATACATTTTTTTCGGTCCCACCAAAATAGATGGAACAAAAACAAGGAGATGAGACAAGTTTGGTGATTACTAAACTGTTCGTCTCAAATTAAACCCCTAAAACCTTCCACGATTCTTTCACCAGCCTAATTCACTCTCGCGAGTCCAATCCTGCCAGTCCCGTCCGTGTACCAAATGCAACCTAAAATTAGTCCTGCTTAGTAGGTACCTTGCCATGGATCCTGCAAAGATTTATCAAAGATACAACCACATTTACAGATCGATGGAGCTTCTCCATAAGTAGCTGCACCTCTTCTGGCTGAGAACTGACTTTTGATTTATTTATTTGACCAGCTTCTTTAACCTAATGTAAGATGTTACATTGTTAACCCTCATAGCTTCATGTATGATTGTTGGAAATAGTAAAAAAAACATGCCTTACCAACATGCGAAGTATAGTGAGGTTCTGCTCATGCTGCAAATCAAATAATCTTTTATTAGCAACTTCTATGAGAAGCATTAAAACATCACTCTTAAAGGACAAGAGAAAATGCCTACCAACTCCCTATACCACACAGCAAAAGTTGAGGAACAAAGAGTAGTAAAACCATGGCTATATTCCTCCACTGTTGTTCTGCTGGAAGAGGATACCTGACACCACAAACAAAGCACAAAAGAACTGCTTTAAGAAACATTAAATTGGAGGGCTAATTTGTTATTTGCGTGAATCATTAAACTCTTGCTGGATAGTTTAGAATTTGCATTTCAAGAGCAAGTATTCAAGCTACAGTATCATTCTATAAATGGTGAAAACCATATGTGCTAACTAATCATAATGTTCGGAAAATGGTATACTCTGATAGTATTATCTATATCTTCTTTTTGATATCGTCTGTAAGTGCTTCTGGCCCAAAGTTAAATATTAAGTTGGACAATGTACAGATGTTTATAAATAGGTTGACTATGCAGTATAAACCAAATCAAACAAAACAAGCCCTATATATCCCACCTGAGGGCGGGTCTGCGGGATGTACCAAAACCTGACCTCCACGGTTCCACCCCAAGAAACAGAGCGGTTGACTAGCACTAAATGTCCTAAAAAATTCAGTAGGATTTTTGGCCTTGTAACAGTTTTTGGTTTAAGTAAGTAAAAACAAGAGGACAAGAGAGAAAAATATTGTAAGACCGTCTATGATTTTTTCAAGGTAGGTGATTCGGTAACGACATAAGAACTTGGGCATAGAGAACCTGTGGCACCCAGAAAAATTAACACATGTTTAGTTATTGGTGGATGACAGAATTTCGAAACCACTTAATACCAACTGGACGGGACACCTATGTTACTGCTGTTCAACTAGGTTCTCATCAGCACTGAAAGGGGACAGTCTCACAGACATAAAATAAAGATAATGAAGTTCATCTCCCTTACACCAACTCACTTATTGTATAAACATGTAGAAAACTTGTATAATACTCACTGTAGGCAAAATAGAGCATGCAAGTTCCTCCAGTGATTGAGAAGTGGACTCGCAATTTTCCAAGTAAATGTGGACGATCTTCTGAACCATTTCCCCCTGCAAGATACAGGAGAAGCGGAAGCATTGAAAGTACAATTAATAATAGAAAATTAAAAACAATAAGATGGAAAGAATCATAGCCTCAATTAAAGGACTTTCATAAGATCGAGGGACAACATAGAAATTTACTTTTCCTTTCCAACCATTTTCAATGTCATTATGCCAGTTGTGACTCAATAGTTTCTGAGCAGAAGAGCTGAGTTTGCTGCGCAAAGTGGCAAGGAGTTCCTGAATGGTGGTCAGTGTATGTTTACCAGTTCCCTCCAGAGGTTTGTCAAGGATTTTTTGGAGAGAGATAACTACGGACTCCATTGCCAGTACCACTTCTGAAGCAAGCATAAATGAGAAGCAGAGTGCTGCAAAATGATATCGCAAGGTAATAAGAACCCTACTATAAGCTACCAACAGGAGAAGAAATGAGAAGAAACCATACCCGCATCCAGAACCCCTTCTAGGAAAGCATAAACACCACCATATAAGCAATCTATGCCTCCTGTTGATGATAAAGACTTTGTGCCTACAGTATCAGGGACTTTTTTGGGCTGGAAAGACTTGAGCAGATCCAAGAGAACTGATTGTTTTATCAGTATAAAATCTGGACAGGTCAACATCTGTGCTGGATCCAAAAGGGAAAGAACAGAAAAGGATGATAACATGAAGAAAGACGGCAAATCATGAAAATGCCATAGCTTCAAAACCCAGTGGAAGGTTGTAATAGCATATAGGAGTCTGAGGAGAGGAGGGCAGTAGGTACCTTGCTGAAGCAATAAAGTGTCTCTTTGACAACTAAACTCGAAACACAGGGTACAGAAACTACCATTTTAGGTATTTCTGGATTACCAGCCATGGAAGATTGATCCTTCCAGTGTGCTTGACAAGTTTCAGAACCTAAAAGTACTTCTTTGTAAGATAAAAGAATACTTCAAATCCCTACTGAACGTCAGTCAATTCTTTAATGTTAGAATCTTACCATGTTCAAGTAATGATATAGCAGAATCCAGGTGTCTCCTCAGAGTCGGAAACAATGTGTGAATCTTGTTTACAAATTCAACTGTTGTTATTCCATTTACACCAGGAGGAGTGCTCAACGATCTGGATGACGTTGGTTTGGGACTAAAATCTTCTAGCTTGCTATGAAGATCGCGGAGAAGGTAAAGATACACAGGTAACTAGAATAAGAAATTCACATGAAAAACAATTATGTGGCAATACGATCAATGCCAGAAAAGTGAGGATATAGCATGCAGATGTGCAATCTAAAAAGGCATACCTCACACGTGCGGTCAGCACAACAAGAATGAAGATCCTGCATTTAAAAAACATCAAGCAGGTATATTTGACAGTTTGAGATCCTGCTCAAGAAAGCTATCCAAAAATATAAACCATCACTAATTTCCAAACCATTCAATCAAACAGGTATATCAGTGGATGCATATCATGCACATAATCTCCAAGGTACATTGGAACCTGAGACTAGATAAGAAGGAAAAAAATCTGCATGCTCTCAAGAAGGAAAGAAAAGAAAAGAAAGTGTCTAGCTTTAGTTCTTTTTTCATGTGCATATATGAATATAGATTTCTATATGTACATATCTACGGACACACGTGAATATGTATGTGTGTGTGTATACAAATGCACAAGTATTATCTACATATATGTATGCGTGTATAGACATATGCATGTATACATGGACATGAATATACAAACCTATATACATGTATAAGTGCACATACATATATAAATGTATACACACACATACACATATGGACATGTGAACAAGTGTGTATATTCTCTAGGCTGACTCACAGAAACCTTGAATGATGTATTTAGTCATATAGCTAGCCACAGACACCAGAATCATAGTTACACAAAATCCCAGACCTCATGCTCAATGATTAAACAAATAGAACACATACTAAGATCACTGAATAGAGATAGATAATTGACCTCTGAATATGACAAAATGGAGAAACAGCTAACAGAAAGAGGTCTAAATTTGTATCTTTGAGCTTCAAGAAGCTTAACAGCTTCAGAAATCTCAATATCAGTATCTACTGATTCATTGGAGTTGCTTGTAGAACAAACCACTGCCTCAGTTGGGCTGTTTTTAGATGGCATGCCAGTAGAATTTTCATTGACATCTTTGCTTTGTATTGCACCCGCTTTCTTCCACGTCTCGAAAATTGTAAGCTGAGTGGTGCTATTTCCTTGGGTGTCAGAAGTTTTCAATGCCTTTGAGGATTTTTTATCCTTTCTCTTGCGGCTTTGGGAAGAACCTTGCTTCATTCTATTTTGTTCCATGTTCCCTCCAATACGAGTAGGCTGGCCTGGAAAGGAAGCTGAGGAGAGCTCAGCATGAAGGTAGAGCTCAGGTAACACTAGAGGACACTCTTTGAGAAAATTATTCAACAAGCTCTCTAGAAATCTGCATGATAAGAGAATATTTGTCAACTCTTTACAACAATAAGAGGATCACTCCGAAACAGGCTGTTTTCCTTGTTCAACTGAAATTGAATATAATGTGCAGGATTAATAAGTTAAATGTCAGGCATTTGTCGTTAATATTCACAGCCCAAATCAAACAGATAAACTACATACTTTCATTATCACTCAAATTTTCAAATTCCATAAAGTGCACTACTTAATCTAAACAAACACCAGAGCATTTAAAAGATGGTAACAAATAGCATGAGCACAGGTAAATGCTGCACATATTCAAAAATATTGGTCAGCATGTCCACGCAAAAGAAATTTCACAAATTCAATGAGATACAAGAAAAAGTCAGTTACAAAAAAGGTTCAACTTGCAGCAACTTTCAAGCTATTTTATTAGCCATTTCCCGTCTTAGGTCCAGAGAAAAAATATATACAAAGAAGAGCTTTCAACTACAAATAGAGAAGAATCTATACATAAATGGTGGAAGTGGTCTTGTTACATATGTTTGCAACATAATTGTTACGGCACCCCAACAAGTCACTGTGGTAGTGAACAGCCGGATGCCAGGCAAAGATGATGACCATCATGTCATCCATATGAAGGCAAGCCATTCACAGCATGCATTTCCGTGTGCATTTGACTTATTTAAAAGATACCTCAAACATATATGATCATATATGTTGAAAAATTATTTAGTTTCAGAAGATGTGGGATTGATTGCAATGGTGCGGATATTGGTCCACAAGTTCTTTGCTATTATTGATGGGCGCTTTAGACAAGTAATACTAGTTAAAACACTCATGAAAGGCTATCAAATATTTCATATATTATTGGACAAAATGAATAAAAGAGTGAAAAGGTGTAAACTGAACGCTGCAAATAAGAAAATTTCAAATAACTTATGAACATTTTCTGTTTGCATGTAACATTGCACTTCAACTTACACAAGGTTTCTCAAGCGTTTTAAGATCTTGGCAACTGTATCTTCCTTTGTAGCTTGGCTTACGCAGTCAAAACTTCCAGCAAGTTGTCTACCAAAGGCATTAAGCTATTTGAGATAAAAAAAAATGTCATATAAGCAAATATAATATAACCCATTGCCTGCATTTCATTATATTTATATTTTAGAATTGACAGTCACACTTGGTTTGTCATGTGAACAAAGAATTTTCTTGTTTTTTAAAATTGTTAGTGCATAATAAAACATATTGCAAGAACACTCAACAAAAACCTTCTGTAACAATCAACTACATTTTTAAAATAAACATCAGTAATTTATGATCCCACTGGACTTTTGAATACCATTATATCTCATGAATTAACACAATATTGTGATTTTTACTCCCACTATTATTTAGCATTCATATCCATTCTTCATATTTGTTACGAAATCCTTGAACCCTTTCTCCCTTTCAGACCCTTTTTCTGAAGTAAACCCCAACAAATCTATTATCCTCGAGGGCCTGCATAAAAGGGAGCACTTCAGAAGTTCTATGAGTAACTTGACTGCAACAAATGGCATTTGATGTTTCTAAGATTGGTGAAGGGTGAAAGCAACAACATAAATCCTGTGTTGTCACTTTTGAGAGGTTTAGGTTTGCAACTTAAAGTAATTTTAGAGTGAGAGATGGTCATTCATTGCCCTGGTAGAGCATGGTGTTGGTGGAAGTGGCTATTGCATGTGTATCAAGTGACCATGTTAAAAAATTCAGTAATAAACAATCGCAGGCAATTCCTCAGCAATCACAAAGTGAACCAGTAGTGGCAGGTTGCCCATACTTTCCTTTTTCCTCCATTCACTGATACTTCTTCACAAGGATATACATAACCATGAAACCAAAGGACGTTTTCTTGTGAGATCAAACAGACACACTAATGACCTTAACGCTTCCCGTCTTTCTTTAAAGTGTTTGTCTCAGTGAATCTTACAATCCCTTTCCCAAATAAAATTCAATTAAGTTTGCCATCATGTCAAAACTAATAACAAAGTATGATGATCGATTTTTGAAATAATTTGTTCGGTCAATGACATCAAACATCAAAACTTACTAGCTCTCTGATCCAATTAATTGCATAATAGAGAGAGAGGCACACAACATGTTTCTGCTTTCCATTGAGTGACTGCCAAGATGCCAAGAAGAGCTACAAAAACAATAGCAAGAAAGTATTAGTAAATCGTCGGTGTGGCATGTTTGATGAAATAAGAGCAAAAGGCAAATGTATCAGCTTGCTTCATTATAGAACAAAGTGAGTTAATTTCATCATCAGCAATTGATGTTCTATGAAGTTCATTAAAAATGTTAACCATAAAAACATGATTCAAATATGTTACACACTCTTGCAAATGGTGGAGACAAGTTGTGCATAACCTTACACTTATAAAATATCTAGAATTGAGTACCCAACAAAAAAATCTTGAATATATGACCAGATTTTTCAACTTCAAGACAAAAAAATGTACATGTCGGATTAACATCTAGAGAAGATATTCAAATCTACAATCAACCCTCTAATAGAGTTAGCTTGATCAAATGTACTATGATATTTTGTTTTAGTTGCAAGTGTTTGTGGTGTTCAACCATAGATATTTGTGAGATATTATGTATTAGTTCGAGCTAAAATAGATTATATTCAATAAGCATAACTGTTCTTACACTCATTTTCATAGTTAAATTCAAATTTCCATGCAACGGATAATTTTCTTAACATACGAAAGACAAGTGTCGCAAGATTGTTATGGAAAAAGAAGTTGTAGTAAATAATGAAACTAATATTAAAAACATAAATTAATAGTACATGTAATCTATAAATCTCATACGGATATGTATAGGTAGCGTTCCAAACTTCTAATACTAGTTTAAATTGGGGGGGGGGGGGGGGGGGGGGACGAAGCAGCAATGGCAGCTAGTAGAACTATAACTCAGGTCACCTCCATGGCTAAGCATGTTCAACATTGGCAAAATTGTGTTTGCTTGAGCAAAGGAAGTCATTGGTAAGATTTTCTTGTTCAAAAGTTATAGTTATACAACTTCATTTTCACTTTGGCATAATGATCATTTCCATGTTCATTTCATGGTGATGCTATATGGTTGTTTTGAATAATTTAGTCAAATAATACCTTCAGTAACAATAATGAGGAAGTCACTAACCCATCTTTGATGAACAGATGGTGTGGAAGCTATTTATCTAGTTAAACTCAAGACTGAACTTCAGGTTAATAATGATAAAATTACGCTATATATAGTACTGAGATTAACATGGTTCTTGGTGTTTTCATAGCTTTTTTGGTTTCTAGATGCGACATTCCCTACAAGCAACATTCTCCGCTAAAGTGTCTCTAAAAAGTGCAAGATAGAAAATATGTTTATAGAACGGAATGCTGAAATTCGAAGGTAGGTACTGCCATAAAACACTTAGGTTAGAAATATTGCCATGGAATAAGTGATAACAATTTACTCGGAGATTATTTTCACAAGTGAACTTGATTATCTATGATAGATTTTGGTGGATATGCCTTTGTCTAGCTTCCCCTCTTGCCATATGCCATTTTATGACCACTCTCTAATAGAAGATGCAATAGGCAACAACAGCAACAGCTTTGTAAATTCTCCAACTTGAAAACCAAGTTGGGCACATAAACTTACTATAGAGAATCTTAGAAGAAAAATAAACCCCTCTCCAAACAGGGTTCCCAAGGGTCAGCTCTATGCAAGTATATCATGAATTCCACCTACAGGGGTCAAAAAAGGAAAAAGGTAGCTAAAATGGTAATTGGACATCAATTTCCAGAAATAACAGATTTCACACAAGTCTTAACTCCTAATATAATTATATAACTAAAGCAGGTTGACTTGTATTAATGCGATATTTCCATGCTACTTTACATTGAATTGCTATTTGTTTATCATTTTTGAGTTTTCTTAAACTTCAAAGTATTTTTAACCATGCTCTCTCATATGAGCAAGTTAATTAAAATCAAATTACTTTAATAAACAACTCAAATTATAATGTACATTAATGCATGTTCTAAATTTTAAGGCACTAATATACTATAAAAAGTAGAAGTGAAAAATCGGAAAGATCCTAGAAATTAACCTTAGAAGATGGAAGATGTATAGGACAACCAAGAAGTGCGTCAATTCCTCCAAGAGATCCCTGATTTCCCAACCTCTCCATCTGGATAGAGAATTAGATATCAAACAGAAAACTGAAATCATCATGCAGAAATGAGGTTAACAAAGAGTTGTATTTTTTTTTAAATGCGCCTACCACAGAAAGCAAACGGAAGTTAGCAGGAAGAGTTTGTAGTGATGTTGACCTGCACAGTAAGAATCTTGTGATCCATAGAAAACAGATGCATAAGGATAAAAAAATCCTATAAAAAAGAATAGATTTAAAGAACATGGATGGCTTTGGTCAAAAGAAAGTTCCATTGTAGTGGTCAAGGCAATTTTGTTAAGAAACAAGAACTACAATTGCAATCCCACAACTGCTTAGTTGGGAGATTAATCCAATAATCCCACAATGAGCTGTGAATGGCATATACAAGGTTGCTGTCACAAACCAGTTGCAGTAGATTAATAACAAAACCGATCATAGAGCAATAAAGAGGTGAAATAATCAAGGATTCGGAGAATAGCATCCTTTGACAATTACCTATTTGAAGCCAATTACTTGCATCTGTATATTTTGTAAGATGCAGTAATACTTATATTTTACGAATGTCATATTTTTAGACATGTAACCATCTAATGTACTATGTATGGTGTATCCAGCAGACATCATTTTTACTTGACTCTTTAACATGATAGAGTCAAGGCTCTGATAACCAAACCCTAGCCTCTCTAAATCATCAGCCTTCTGTCGTCGATGTTGATGCCAATCGATAGTGCCAAAACCTCCTATACCTTACAACAGTAAAAAGCCTAGTAAGGAACGGTCTCTAGGGCTTCACCATAATCTGATTGCATCGCGCCTCACTCTACAACTCTAGATCCTGTTTTAGGTTATGCTACTCGTCTAACCTCATGACCAGTAATCCAACCTCCAGGCTCTTCTATTCTTGTTTAGAGTATCCCGTATCAGCGTCTGCTCAATTCACAGTATCTATTTTATCCTACACCATGCCCGATAATCAAGTCCAACTCAAGCATTGCTATTGGCTTCAATTATATGCAGAAACTGGCCATGAAAGTGTAAAGAAGGCCATCATTTGAGTGTTGACTAATTATCAACAGAATCCAGTGATTGAGAATTATTGCTGCATCCATATGAGGTTCTAAATGCAAGCGAGCCAGATGTATGTTTACCACCATAAACTGTTCCACCATCAAAAAGCTTCAAGGTCACTTCGATTATCAGGTCTCATAAACATTCAGCTCTCATGCCTACATTGTTTCACAGCTTTATTCACTTGCCTACCTGACTATCAGTATCAAGCATACCAACCTCTGCCAAGATGTCAAGCCATCAAGGACATACTTCCTAACAAATAGTATGACGCCCATCCACTACCTAGCTACCCTGTCATATTGATTGGATATTTGGATACCTTTTGTTTTCCTTGCACTTTTGGTGCTTTAAAAAAATTAGTTGACCCTACTGGCACACCAGTTTGGCAACCTTTTTTTTTGTTTTTCTACTTTGTTTTTCCTTCTTGCTCGTGACCAGGCTCCCAATTTAACTTCTTTGGTTGCTGCTAAAGAAGAAATTCACCAAACGCTTATTCACGTACCAAGTCACATTACCTTACCGGATGAATATGGCATGGACCAAGAATCTTACCCGGTAAGAGCAAGGCAAGGACACCTCAGTTAGCGCTTACCCGGTAAATTGTTGCATATGATGCCGTTTGTTGACTAAAATCTTACATGATAAGTGATAGTGTTGGATTTTACCGGTAAGCGCTTACCGGATAAGTGTTGGTAAACAGCCCCTAAGAGCTTCTCCAATGCAAGGTTTTTATTAGCAAAAAGTATAGTGGCTTGTAAGAACTACCATTGTGAAGAGGATCTTATAAGAAACTCATGCCCTCTAGGTGCTTGAACAAGAAACTTGGTTCTTACCATGAAGTTTGTGAGAAGTAACATTTTCCTTATTTTTTATTTTATTTTCTTGATTTTATAGTTATTAATATATATTAATATAATAATTATTAATGTTGAAAGAATCAACGGGACCACAAAAAGGAGGTTCTTATAAGAACTACCATTGTAGACTTTTTTAAGAGAGTTCTTAATTAGATGAGTTGGAGATGAGTTGGCAACAAAAAGTACAAAAAGGGGGTTCTTATAAGAACCTCCATTGGAGATGCTCTTAGGCAAACAAAGTTTTGTCAGTTGTTCCACACGTCACTGATGTCTTGTCAGAATATAAGAAGTGAATGATCCTGCTTGAGTACCAAAGATCAGATTTTTGTTTTTCTTATTCAATTATGTTGCAAAGTAAGGTTCTTTTAGGTTTCGGATTAGTAACCCTAGTTATATTTAAAGTTAGAATTACTTTCTAATCTTGTTTAGATTGCTTGTGATGGTGTAACCACCATAAAAGACAAAAGGATACAACTTCATTGCCTCCCTAGTTTCACACAGACACACACACACATATATATACACGTGTGTGTGTGTGCATACTATCAACCACACACAAGGCATAGATCTCTCTCTACAAGATGCATACATATAATGTATGCTCTCATTATATGTATAGGCATTCTCTCGAACACGACTAACGTGATCCTTGGAGGCTACTCCCTGGACGAATGTCCTGGCGTGGTTATAATTGTTCTCCATATTTCTTGAATGTTATTCAGTTCAAAAGTCTCGTTCAAAGATAAACATGTCTCAGATCCACAGACGGTGGATTTGGGAGCATCACCTAAGATCCAAAACTCTTAGGATTTTGCTAACCCTAATTGCTTCACATGGTGATTTTCATCTTTAGTTTTCAACTAATGACTCCTTTTACCAAATATTACCGAGTGAACTTAGAAGTTCATTCAGTCAGCTTTTAAGTTTCTAGAGACAAGCTTAATGGTTCCTACAGTGACGTGTAGAACAAGATTCAAAAGATGAAAAATAATATTACCTTGATGATGAGGAAGCCAGTGGCAATATGTTCATGCAAATTGGAGATATATCTCCATCCAAGTTCATCCATAGCTCCCCTGCATGACAGGAAAAATAATACGAATTAAAGTTGTTTACTAAAACCCATTCGTTTGGAGGCAATGAAGACGCATCCCTGTGACTCACCTTCTAGACCACAATACAAGTCAGAAGCGGATAAAGTCCCATTTTCTAGATCAGACAGGAACATGGATTCAAACTCTCCGACAAGTTGGCCAACCCTGCACACAAGAATAGTTGATATTTTATAATATCTTTTGGAGAAATTGTGTGTTCCATTAATTAGTCACAGTGTCTTATATATTGCTTACATAAGAATAAGCATGAACAAGATAAGACATTAAAACAAAGATAACTTATCTCTAACACTCCTCAAGTTGGAGCATATAAAATAAACATGTCCAATTTGCCATTACAGGGTTAATCTGAGAACTTCAAAGGAGTTTTATGTTAACATGTGACCAATTGATCGTGAAATCCATTTGGCTTGACAGACAAAGGTTAACGAGAAATGCTTGCCATCTTCTCAGGAACATAGTGGCAAACAATCTCAATATGTATTGTTCACTGATGGAACATAAGATTCTTGAAGATATGTCACCAAACAATCCAAGTATATGCCGCTCGAGAGCAGGGTCTAGGGGATGGGACGTACGCAGACCTGTCCCATACTTCAAAAGATAGAGCGGTTGTTTCCTGATTTGTATAGTTGCCTAATTATCACTGTATGACTTGAACGAACCAGCTGAATCTCACAGCTCATGTCACGTGTCAGCATCAAGTCCATTTTAGCTCACAAGCATTTCAAGCAATTGCTCGATATTCTGCTTAGCACTTGATAGTGAGACCACATCCTACTTCTTGCTTGCCCATAACTCCACTGAATCAACTGAATCGTGTGCCAATCATAAAATCCATTTTAGCTCGCTAGCATTTTGAACCATTGCTTGTTAATAAGCCCTAGCATTTGATAGTGAGACCACATCCTACTTCTTGGTTTTCCACAATATAAGGTTACCATCAAAAAACTAAATATGCGGTAGACCGTCTACTGTGACTCTAAGAGTGCATATCATTAATTTATCACCATATAACTCACCGTTCCATGATTGCTGGATGAAGAGTTTTTGAATCAAGAATGGCAGATAGTTCATCATAAAAGAGAATTAACGACACAGGCAACTGTTGGCATGAGTCCAGAGATGTTCTCAGCAGTTCTAGAGCTTCCTCATAGTTCAACTTCTACACAGAGATATCCCAAGGAGTGAACATAGAAAATCACAAATTAGTGATAAATTTAATGCCTTCTCTGATTATAATAAGCAACTGGACTTTTCCAGCTTGGGACTTAAGAATAAGCAGAATATGTACTTGTTAAGACTACTCTTACCTGTGACGAAGGTGAATTGGATGTATTATTTGTGTTTCCAAGATGGGACAATATTTTCAAGGTTCCAATTAGACCCATTTTCTTGTGCTTGAATTCTGGATTACTGACCTGCCAGTTCAAACAGTCATTTCTAACCTCTGCCAGATATCATCTATTAACATGGAATGTATAAGCTTCAGGAACAGGTTTACAAAAACAATGATCTGGGAGATATATAGGAAACTAACAATCAGTTTTTACCTGCTTCCTAACGATCATGAAGAGTTCATTTGCAATAGATGACCCAAAGGATTCAGTATCAGACCACACAGATCGTGATAGATAGCAGAAAACATCATATACCTGCAATACAAGAATCCAGGTGAAAATACATGTGAAGTTGCAAGAATCATACCGTCTGAAAACATATATGTAACCTTATGAAGGTTTTCAGTGCTAAATCCTTCCATGTAATCTAATATACCTACGTATTAGAATAAGTAACATGTCAGGTACACTTCGATAATGGAGCAAAAATGCAGAATCGAATAATACACAATAAAGAAGTGATAATATACCGGTTATGTAAGAACAAATTGGAATTAACTCTTGGGAGTACCTAGAGGCTAGCAAGACCATAGCCTCTAAGGCAGAACTGATTTCAAAAGGAATGCCAGAACCCACATGGGTGACTAGTGCCCCTAAGACCTGTAAGTGCCCACAAGTTATCAGTTCCTCAGACATTGCAGTCACTTTCTTTCCTTTTAGAAACAATAGCATATATCTGAAGGAAGTACTGTTACGGAAGCTTACTTCCTGTCTTGAGTAAGTATCAGGAAACCCCTCAAATAGATACGTATACATTTGAATGCCAAATTTGCTTGCCTTCTGTTCTTTGCAAGCCAATAAGTATTCTGACAATAGCAAAAATGAGCAAAAGTGATCCTAGATTTAAGGAACAAGATGCAAAAATGTCAGCTTGGGTGAGTTCCACAAATTACAAAAGTACTCATTTCATGCAGATGAAAGCAGTTGACACCATACCTTTACCAATTCCTTGTGACCAAAAATGCATTGCTCAAACAAAATATCCTGAATTGAGCCTTCAATGATTTTCTTCTTTAGTAGCTTTTCAACACTCTTTTGCATAGATTCACAGTTCTTATAAATGAGCATCAGCAACCAAATGTCAATCACCTTATGATCCCGGGGTTTATCAATGCATTGGAGTTCTTTAAGTATTTCCTGGCATAGTATCTGCGAGTGTTTATACACAGGACGCTGTTATTTGATTCAACCCAAAGTTATACAATTGCAAAGAAATTTTTTAGTGTCACGAGGAAGTGAACTGATAATTGAAAGTTGAAGTGTGCAAGAGTTTCAAGTACACTTTTAAAACGAAGACTAGACCCCAAAGCATCAAGAACTGAAGCCTCCACATTATTTACGACTGATTTTCCCTTTAATTTGTTGTGTTGAGCTGAACGAGTATCAAAGACTCCCACCATCTTGTACTGTTCTCGGAACTGTGAAATTATTCTCCGGGCATTTGTTGGTGTTGCAGAAAGCAGTAGAAATCTGAGTAGGTACGGCAACTTCTCCGCTTCGATCGTTCGAATACATGATAGTGCTATTGATATAACCTTCAAAATAATCAATTGCCACATTTATTAGCAATTAGTCTACAAGCTAGACCAATATACACACACACACGTATGTAAGCCAAATGACCTTATCTTGCAACAAATCATCCAAGTTAAGACTGGAGAAGCAATCAATTACAGCAACTGTGGCGGTTGAATCATCTTGCAACACCCTCTCAAGTGAATCAACCACAGTCTGATTGTTAGTGTCTCCAATAACCTCAGGCAATGATCCAATGATCTCTCTCTTCAGGTGAGGAGGGCAAATTGTCAACACTTGGAACACATTCTCAGTAAATGCCTCAGAATCCACTAAAAAGTCAAGCCACCGGAACTGGTTCAGTATCAATCTAGCTATGTCCTCATCCAGGCGCAACGTGGATGATGAAGAAGGTCCACAATTATCATTATCAAAATATTCTGGAAGCTTCTCAAGCAACATGTTCTGAATACTTAATTGGATCGAAGGAACCAGCAAGAGCACCCTGACTAAGCTCTCGCTTCGTCGTCGGTTACCAGAATTGTCGCAATGGGAAGGTAATAAAACCCTACAAGTGTAAATTTATACTTTCATTGCATTAGGGTTCAAATAGCTGTTGGCATGCTAAATTCAACGAGTCCATATTCATACTTACATAGTTGATTTCTAGCTAAAACCTACAATCGCATACTCAAGTTTTGCTTCTGATTAATGTTTATTATATATGATTTGATGCAGTGAAAATGATAGGAAACAGAATATAAATGACATGAACCACTTCCTTAAAGCATTTATAAAAAATAACCTGCGAAGATCATTTTGTTTGTCAATGTAAGAGGAGAAGCCTGCCAAGAATTGGGATCGGAGAGAGGAGTCAGATGAAAAGCGATTTTGGAGATGGTGCCGGAGCTTGTGTAAGTCAGCAGGCATACAAGGGGGTCCCGATGTGATGTTTAGTGTACACCCGGCATCTGCAAGGATTGAAGCCATTTTGTCAATTGGGTAACTTGGGTTTAGGGCTTGTGATACTGGTTGAGGTTGAGGTGTTGCAGAGTCGTTTTGAATATCCAGAGTGTTGTTGGGGACATTGGCGGTGGCGGTGGCGGTGGCGGTGGCGGTGGGTTTGAGGATTTTGGAGGGGTGGGAGAGTGGGGAAACGAAGGAATTGGAAGGTCGTTTGCTACGGGAAGGAATCTGGTTCTTAAGAAACACCATTTGTGCGTGGATGAATCGTTGAAGTTCAAACCTCTACGGCGGAGTAGGGGTGGAGAAGACGATTGAGGGGCCAATACATGATGGGGCAACAAAATGGCGCCAAAAGTTTGCGACTTTTTCACTATAATCCATGAAGTAAAAACCATTTGAACCCCCAAGCCAAAATTATTTTTATAAATTTACAAATATGTAACAAACTTGGATCATTCAAGTTTTAGAGAACCAATTTTTAATTTTTTGAGAGTTTTGATGACCCATTTAACAGGTAACAGATGGATTTTGCTTAACAGACACTACGACTTGATAACTACAGATATAACATAGTGGTGGTGACAGCGATGGTGATTGTGCCATGGGACATCGATGGCGGTGGTGGTGCCGAGATATCTATGGTGATGGTGGTGATGGTGGTGGTGGTGGTGGCGGTTGTAACGGTCGTAGTGACGATGGTGGTGGTGGAGGAGGAGGAGGGACCATGGTGACAATGGTAGTGGTGGCGGGCCTGTTCGGCCGGTTATCATTTTTATAATTAACTTTTGGAGTTTAAATTTACAAATAAAATTGAATTATTTTTATGCTTGTCAATTATCGTGTATTTATAACTCATGATTGTAACATTTTTAATAAATCTAAAAAGTAAAAACATAATTACCTCAATTAATTAATTCCTTATATTCTCATTTGGTCATTTCCTTTACTGATACTCCACATTTTTCGAAACAATTTTTTTTCCTAAATTATGTACATTGTTATGTATTTTGAATTATTTTACATCATTTGTAATTTTATATAAGTTTTGTTTCCTTAAAAACATATAAAAAAAAATAGGTTCATTAGCCCGTGGGCAAACTCAACCTGTTTATAGGGCAGGTATGATAAAGTTTTCACGCCCAAAAAAAGGGGTTTGAGTTTACTATATTAGATCCATTGGGCAAGAAAATAGGTTAAGCCCAACCGAAACCTGCAAATGATCAACTTTATTTGAGACCAACATTCAAGAATCAGTCTTGTGCTGATATAACCCAAAATGGGCACGAATTATAATACTTCTCCTCCAATAGAGTATAAATGGGCACAAATTGTCCTCGAGTGAAAACACAAGGTTAGATGTGACCCAATGTGTGCAGTCCACAAAGTAGTAGACATTGACTCTTATAGCATACGAGAATATATGAAACCCAATAAGATTACTTTTCAAAATAAACCACGAGAAGAGAGTAGAGGTTATACCAAAGGGTCTTTTCCCTAGTGGTATCGTAGCCCTTGGTCTTCTAAGAAGTCAAGGGTCCAAACCTCACCATAGGTGAGGAGGGTGTGTAAGTTTATTTGTTGCATTTGCCGTATTTAAATATTATATGCTTCAAAAAAAAAAGTAGAGGTTACAACATGTAGTCGATCTAATATATTACCACTATGCTAGGTCATATGTTTTTCTCGAGATTTAAAGTAGCAATTTTTTTTGGTTTAAAATTGTATGTGTTACCTCAACAATCAAATATCATACAATCCACTATTCTTGGCCCCTAAGCTTCCCTATTCGTTCTATCTACACTCAAATATTGTATAAAGTGGCGGATCCAATAAATTTATAGACTGGGATCCCGCAAAAATTAATCCATGTTGTAGTTTATTGTATATCCATTATACACAATTGGGGTGTTTGAGATTGCTTATAAAAACAACTTATTGACTTATTCCAGTGTGGTCCGATGATAAGCACTTTTGAGTGTTTGGATAAACAACTTATACCAGTATCAAACCAGTAATAAGAAGTTTTTGAAGAAGTTAAACCCTTCTAACTTATAATAAGTTGATAAGTGTTTTTGTAGAAAATGATAAGTTGTTCCAAATAAGCAAATCCCAAACACCCCCTAAATGTGCAAGTGGAATGATCTAATTTGTGCTTACGTTTTCTCGAAAACGATGTTGATGAAGAACTTGTAAGTAGCTATAAACTATTTAGTGTTACGATTAAAATAACTGATTTTAAAAATTCATCTTGTTGTTCGGTAAATTTATAATGTATTTGTTTTATCGTTTTGATACTAAAACCTTAACTCTTTTAACATACATGGTTTGGTTTGAAGAACGAATGAAAAAGGCGAGTGATTGAATAAAAATACCGTAGAAAATAAATAGCATAAATTAATGGATGAAATAATTTGTTGCCAACTGTATAGAAAGCGGTCATTCCATTCGACTTGCCCAACTTAACCTACAAACAATCAAATTAAACGTAACTCGCTAATTAGCAGGTTTGAAACTGAGTTATGTCTAACTCAATCCAACACAACTTGCTAACTCGCTGCTAATATATAATTTTGATTAAAGAATATCTATTTTTATTTATCTTGTATGAGCCTCATTCTCGTTTTTTGGTAAATTTTTTGCATAATTCTCATTCTACATTTACATGTTATTGCTCTATGTCATAAATTTAATAGCAACATGTAGCACCCGGATTTTTGAGTAAATGTAATTTATAGTTTCTATAAATATTTTAACCTTAGATTAGCTTTGATGAAGTATTTTGAATCTTGGTTCGGTACAGTATCGCTTTAGGTAGGAGTGAGCATAGGCGGGTACCCGCCCTTTTTGACAGGAACCGGCGGTTCTTGAGATATTGGAACCGGAACCGGTTAGAGCGGTTCTTAAATTTTTGGAACCGGAACCG